CAAAAAAAAAAAAGAACCCAAAAAAAAAACCCAAACCCGAACCCAACAACAGCAGGTCCCTGGCTTTGACTTGGGGAGAACAAAAAGCAACACTTCTTGCTTTAGAAAAAGAACCTGCTCTCCTCCTCAGAGGTGGTGGTTCCCCTATCCAGCCACAAGCTCTCTCCAAAAAAATAGATCCACAGGAGTTGTTTCTCAAACACCTCTCAACTGCCTTTGTCCTCAGGAAGGCCCCAGAACAACCAGCCTGCCACAAATGGCACTGTGGGAAACTCCCCAGACAGGGGGGTTGCTGGTTGGTTTGGGTTTGGGTTTTTTTTTTAAAGAGACATTGTTTTTCCTCTCTTGTTAACTAAAAATGATCAGCCCAGAACATGCAATAGCAAATTTGGAACATTCTGAACATGCTCCCTCTGAGGTGGAGCCTCTTCGAGCCTCCTCCAAAGGTCAGAGCCTCAAAATGTGTTTGTCTGAAGGCAGCTGTCGAGCACGCCAAGGATCAAGCTGTCTTACTGGAATGATTGTATCAAGTACTACAGTACCTATTTGGGGGAAAAAAGGGAAAAAAAGAGCAGTTCTCCAGTTTCTTCATGTAACGGGGATGCCAGGCTCCAAACAATGCCCTTAGATGATCAGAGAGGCTAATGCCCAGGCTGGAGCCTAGCCCCCCCTGTGCCAGTCTGTACATTCATGTTGAATCAGGACCATTCAGCAAGTCTGGCTGGTTCCTACCTCCAAAGATGTCCTGAGGCCAGAGGGACCCCGAGCGGCACGAAAACCCATCCCCACAGAGGCAAGGACACTCCTGTCTCTCCCAGGAGGAGACAACACAGCAGTTGGGATGGTCTTGGTCTGGTCTGAGGGGTCCGTGTGCTCCAGCACAGATCAGGAGGGCTGGAGGATGCTGCTTTGGGCCCCTTCCCCTTCACCAAGGACGGCTCCGCAAACCTCCGGCAGTTTCCTCCCCTCCCCAAGCCCATCCCAAGCACTGCCCAGCAGGGTTCACAAGGACATGTTTAATGAGCCCTGCTGGCTCTGCCTCCCCTTCTGGCTGGTCGTCTGGAGTTCCATGCACACCAAGGTAGTGGTTCTGTCCTGGTATGGCAGCTGCAGTCTCCTGGTCTGGCTGCTGGGCTCTATCGTATCCTGGTGAAGAGGTTGAGGACGGATACGGACTCCTGCCGAGAGAGGACAAAGCAGGGGCTGAGTACTCCACAGCTGGGCTGCAGCACTTCACCTGCTTTTCTGTTGCAGGTGAGGTATCTCTAGCTCAGGGCATGTCTGAGCTCACCATTCAAAGTCCATAAATGTCCCTGTGAGGTTTTTATTCCAGCTGATAACAAGCAGCGTGGCAGGCAAGTGTCCCAGGCCCACAGCTCTGTGGGAAGCTGCACCCCAGAGCTCTCAGAAGCCACAGGCAGTGAGCAACACCACATCTCCATCTCTCAACCTCTCCCTGCAGCTTTCCTCTGCTAGACAGCCAGAACAGCTCTGAGTGCCTGGCACAACCTGGTTTCAAGGATGGTGAGCTGTCAGTGGCACCATCCATGATCCCATTTCCACCCCAGCCACCATTTTAGGCAGTTGTTCTAAGGGGCTGGGGGACAATCCCCTCTGAGGGTGTGTCAGGGCACAGCAGCACGCCAGCAGGGCAGATGGTGGGCTCAGGGTGAGCTCCCTGAACTGCTGCTGTGTGTGTCCCTGCAAAAGCCAGGAGAAGGATGTTCTGTCACACTGCCCTGGGCACACAGAGGCAGCCTTTTATTTCATCCAGTGACCACAAACCCCTTCATGTCTCAACAAAGTTTAACCCTTCACTGCATCCATGCGTACAGTGACCAGCCCAGAGGCAAGGCTGCAGAACAGAGCAAACTCGGGCTGACTTCACCCCCAAATCCTGAGCTTCCTCAGGGTGCAGCTGCAGCCCCCCCACCCCACCCCCAGCCTTACCTTGGTGGAGCGAGTTAACAGAGCAAACTCAGGCTGACTTCACCCCCAAATCCTGAGCCTCCTCAGGGTGCAGCTGCAGCCCCCGCCCCCCCCAGCCTTACCTTGGTGGAGCGAGTTTTACTGAAAACGTTCCAGAAGCGCAAGGTTTCGTCCCCAGCTCCTGTCACTATGGCCTCCCCATCAGGGGACATCGCCTGGGGGCAAGAGAGCAGCCTTTACCACCTCATACACACCAGAGAGATTCAGCTCTCCTTCCTAGCCTGGCAGTGAGGCACCAAACAGCTGCCTCTGCTTTCACGTTCCTCACCTTTTCTCAGCAGGTGCCAATTCAAGCACTTGTGTCTCACTTATGGATGCACAAGTGGAATTAGCATAAAAAGGATTCTTGTGTTAAGAGGAGCAAGCTGTTTGTAATTGAGGCTATGCCCCCTTGGATTATACATAGGTGTTGAGGCAGGAGGAGTGACACAACAGAGCTGGCCAGGGCCAGTGAGCTGCTTGTGTTAGAATCTACCTCCCCAACCAGTATCAGCACATTTATCATCTCTGTTATGAACCCGCTGAAAGCTGCAGAACAGGAAAAAAAACAGGTATGAGATCAGTGTGGATTAACTGCACCAAGCATTCTGATGACAAATGAGGAGGACTGAAAGCATCAGATTCTTCCCCTGCTGGCAGCCACCAGTGAAAAAGCCTGTGAGTCTTAAGGGAACGAGAAGAGATGCCTGTGCTTCCTCAGAAGAGTTTTGGCAGGCTTTGCTAGTCATTAATAAAGCCTCACATTTCCATAGCAGCAAGTCAAAGCATCCCTTGCAGGCAAGGAAACCAGATACACGGCGTTCTTCCTGGCTTGCAGGGCAGCCCTCGTGCCTCCACCCAGAGCAGAGGCAGCTCCCAGTAAGACAGCAGCCTCGGGGCTCACCTCAGCTCAGGCAGGGCCAGGGAGGCAGCTGCAGAAGCTGCCAGAGCCATCACTCACCAGATACAGGACTCGGTAGGAGTGCCCCGTTAGCTTGGCTACTTGAGTTAAGGAGGGGTACTTCCAGACGAGGATCTGGTTCTGCGAGTAGCCGTGGGTGCTCACCTGCCGGGGGAGAGGGGAGCACGGGGTCAGGGCTTGCTGCCAGAGGGAGGCGGGCAGCAGGAGGGGACTCAGGGGAGGGGCTCACCAGCTCGTTGGCGTGCTTGGACCAGGCCAGGTTGCAGACCTGGGAGCCCGTGTCGATGCACTGCAGGGGCTGCCCCGTCAGCGTGTTCCAGAAGCGGATGCAGCGGTCGGCGGTGCCGCCGCCCGAGGCCAGCAGCCCGTGCTGGTGTGGGGACCAGGCGATGGCCTTGACTGCTGCCAGGTGCTCCGTGTACTGCTGCACGGGGCTCAGGCTGGAGTGGTTCCACACCAGGAGCTGCCAGGAGGGAAAGGGATGGAACCTGCGCTGCGCTGGCGGCTCCGCTGCGCCCCCGAGCCAGCACGCTGCCCTGGGACTGAGGACAGCTGGGCAAGGGGTGATTTCCCACAGCTCTGCCCAAGTCTCTGCAGATCTGAAGCCAGTCCCACCTGGCCACCACGCTCAGCTGAGGAGCTGTTCTACCACTGGGCCACAAGGAAGCTCACTGTCCTTAAGGGAAGCTTATGAAGCCAAGGACATGGTGACACCCGACTGAAACTCAAGCTCTTCTTTTGTTTTTAGGGCTGTATTGTTCCAGAACACATTTAGAAATATGCTCAAGTTCATTAGGAGTTATTCTGAGCTGGAGGAACTCGGTACAACCATGCTGTCACTGGGCAAATTCATTACCTAGCAACCTGCTCCAAAGGGTTCTGAACACTGCTTCTCCTAACAGATGCTCCTTCCATATGCTGCTCAGTGAACTACGAGTCTGCACTACAGCTCTTGGAACTTGCATAGCTCTAAACTCAGTTTCCTTCTGCATCCATGAACGTTATCACAACAAACTCCACTATACACCACCTAAACAAAGTCAGGAAGCAGAGCTTAGGAGCAGCTTTGCTGAACTCAAAGCCCTGAATCAAGCTATAGCTTTAATTAGCCAAATACAGATGCAGAATTAAATTTGCCTTTTCTATTTGATTAGAGAGGGCACTGAACAGAAGCTTAGCATGATTCATGTTTGGACACACTCCAACAACCGAAACAAAAACCCCCTTTCAGGGAGGCCAAATATCCTTCAGCAAAGTCTGACACTCCTCAGAGCAGGTCAGGAGCCACGCAGCCTCGCTCGGCTCCTCGGAAGCACCATACCTTGTTATCATTTCCTCCAGAGGCCAGGAGCTGGTGGTCTGTAGACCACTTGAGCCCACAGACCTCCTGCCTGTGGCCCTGGAGCCGCCGCTCCGACTGCAGGGGGGGGGTGCGAATGTCCCTCTGCAGGATCATCCTGTCCCTGCTCCCCGAGGAGAGCTGGTCCGCGTTCCACGCCAGGGCACCTGGACAGGCAGAGCAGGAGGCCGTGGGCTGGGGGCAGGCAGGCAGAACACAGCCAGCAGAGCTGCTGGGGCTTGAAAACATACCCACCGACCACCCCCAGGAGCAAAAAGCCAATCCAAACCCCCCCAGCCAGCTCAGTGCTTACAGACCCCCCCTGTACCCACTGTCTGAAGTGCTGGAAGAGTGTTCAGATAAAGATCAACCTACACAAACTGACTGAGATCACTAATCCAAATTCACAGTGCAGCAAAGCACACAAGCAGAATTTGGAAGGTGACTCTGCTACCCAAATTTCACTCCAGTGTTCAGATTCACAATGCCTCTCTGAGAAAAAAATAAATGTAAAAATCAGCCCCTGCAGAATAAGGGAAGTAGAAATCTCAGTGCAGAGCACAGTGAGGCTGAAACAGGAAGCCAGTGGCAGTAAAAAAATAGATGTTGTAACCAAACCTAAAAATGCCTCAGACGTGGAATAAACACCTGCTGCAATGCTCAAACACCACCACACCCAGGATCAGAACACCACAATTACCAGATGATAACAGCTTGAAGGCTGCTCAAGACATAGCAGGGGATAAATATCAATTCTGGGGCTTTTTGAGCTCTACTATTTCAGGTGGATCCCTTGCTCACAAGGGAGAAGTTCAACCATGAAGAAATGAAGTGTGTGAAGCCTCCCTACCGACTCTGGCCGTGTGCCCCTCTAGCATGGAGAGCTTTTTTCCTGCAGCTGCATCCCAGATCTGCACAAAGCCCTTGTGAGTGCCAACAGCTACCAAGTTCCCCTAGACAAACAGAAAACCATGATCAGTGAAGCAGTCAGCAAAGAGAAAATGAAACAAAAACTACAAGCTGAGGAAAAGACTTGGGATAAATCCCACAAGATGGAAAGCATCCAGAGTTCTTCCCTCTTACACCTTTTCCCTACTGAGACAGCAAAGCAGCCTGGATATATTTAAATAAATAAGATCTATTTATTGTAGCATTTTATTGTTAAGAGCTGGAGAAGCACACCAGCTCCTTTCTCCCTCCCACACCTCATAGAAAATGCCTCAAGAACCTCAAGATACAAGAGGCTGCTCTCCATCCCTTCTCATTTAGCAGAGGGAAAACAGTGGAGACAGGAAAACACGTTTGATTTGTGAGGCACAGAGGGAGCATGGAGAAATACAGGAAAATAACCCAAGGAGTTAAAGCCTGTGAGGAAGAGCTGCACAGCTACAGTGACAATGCCTAAGTTACAAGTGTTTCACATGCTGACACTGTCATACTCACCCTTTCTGACCAGCCCACGGATGTGACAGAGTCTCCTTCCACAGAGAGATCACACAGTCGGGTTACCTAGGAGGCAGGACAGGCCAGAACAGGAAACATTGTCATGCTACTGCCAGATGCTGTGAGTTGTCCCACAGGCTACTGCCTGGCTTGGGACAGAGCATTCCAAGTGCTGAACCCCTCTCACAGCACGTTCCATAGCTCTGAAAGATGCTCTGGGCTGGAAAAGGCCTGAACAGCAACAGGCAGTTCACTCCCCAGCCACTGAGGACCACTCACCTGGCTGGTACAAGCACTCCACAGGTAAACACAAGTCCCGAGGCCAACACTGAGGACGTTCAGAGAGGACCAGTCCACCAGGTTCAGGTAGAAATCATCCTGCAGCTCTGGGGCATCCAGCACTTTGAAAGGAATCTTTGAGATTTTCCGAGTTGGTTTTCGAGGTGATCTTAGCAGCTTCTGACTGTTTACAAAAACAGATATAAAAGGAACTCCAGGATCTTACATGTCACAGCAGATGGTAGATACAGGTGTAGCCACTCTGAGCATACCTATATTTCTAGAGTAAATCACAAACAGCCATAAAAATCTTCCCAGCAGGTGACACTGCAAAGAATTGGGCTCTTTCTATAAAGGAGCCAGGGAGCAGCAAGGTGAACTGAGTGCTGAAAGCTGGCAAGGACATATTACACATCTAGGCAGGCTGGGCACCTACAGAAATTCTGAGAACTTGACTGTTTTTACTTACTATCTCCCCAGGTTTCCAAAACCAACTCACAGAATTTTGGGTGCCTTAGAAAGGGGCCCTAGAGAACTGCACTGAGCCCTCTGTCCCAGCCCTTCCCTTCTGGCAGTCTGGAGAATCAGCATTACCTCTTGTTGCTCACAGGAGACAGGGAATATGGTGAGACCTCGTTGCCATCATCTGGACTCGAGCGTTTTGTGCTGAGTGAGTACTGCATAAAAGAAACACACCTACTAAGAACCCCAGCAGGGCCAAGGGGTCCCCTGTGACATCCACAGGTGCCCAATGCTGAGCTGACTCCAACACCCACAGATTTTCAGTTCCTCCCTTTCCCACGTGCTCCAGAACTGGGCAAAACCCTCATCTCCATACAAGCCCAAAAGTTTGATTTGGTTATTTATTGTTTTGGACAGTGTTCAGTCCATAAAAGCTTGTTTCCATTCAGCTTTCCTGCCAGCAGAGCAGCAGGAAGTATGAAGCTTGCTGCAGGTACCTGTGTTCTCTTTACAGGTCACTAAATTTTGTTACCAACAGCTTATCTAAGCTGAGCCACAACACGTCCTCACTTCCACTAGCAGCTTGGCAGAACTGTGTGCTCTGCCTCCATGACACACGTGTGCAGCCCCCTCTGGTTCTACCACAAAGTAACCAGCTTACAGTGAAGAGAGACTTCTTCTCTGGGGTGGATGGCTGCAGCCTCCTGTCCTCTGTCTGTGGGTCTTGCACCTTCTCAATCCCTGCTCCTAAGAGCTCATTCTTCAGCAAGGCAGAGTAAGCAAGGCCATCTGTGAACCCAGAAGAGTGCTTAGGTGAAGGACTCAGAGCAAAGAGCTCTGCAGGGAGTGGCATGATCAAGCTCCCCAGGTAACTAACATTAGTAACAAGATTACTTCTCCTGAGTAACTAGATAGGGGGAGAGGAAATGGGCTTAAAATGCCCCAGGGGAGTTTTTTATTGGATATTAGGGAGAATTCCTTCCCTGGCAGAGTGGTGAGGGGTTGTCCCAGGATGCCCAGGGAGGTGCTGGAGTCCCCAGCCCTGGAGGGGTTCAGTAAATGTGTAGATGTGGCACTTCAGGACATGGTTTAGTGGTCACAGGAGTGTTGGGTTGATGGTTGGACTCTATGATCTTAGAGGTCTTTTCCAACCTTAATGTCTCTGTGAGTCTGTCTGCCTGACTTGTTCACTCCCAGGGCCTCCAGAGAAGCCTGGCATCCCAGTCTCAAACCAGAAGGAGCAGCAAGCTCCCCTTCTCTCTGCTCCCTCAGGAAAGAGCTCCCATGGCATGATAAACCAAGGGATACAAACAGCCCCTCATTCCCAGCTGCCCATCGGAAGCCTCCCGAGGTGACCTGGCATGAACTCTTGTCATGTGGTCACCTCCTAAAACACCAGCAGTTCCTGTGCAAGCCAAGTGCCAGCATTGCCTCCACTCCCCAACTCTCCCAGAGCCTGAGGTGAGGGCTGCAGGCATGGCCCAGGGGGTAGGAAGGTGAGCTGACCTTTGCCATTGTCTGACGTCGCATCCTTTGCTTTCCTGTTTTGACTTGGTGATTTTTCATTTTCCTGAAAGGCAGGGACATGCTGTCACCACACAGAAATCTCTACAGAAACACAGGAAGAAGTCTCCTGGGCCACAGGGACAGCCTGTTTGAAGACATGCTTTCAGAGGAACTTTTTTTGGGCAGCAGAAGACCACGGTGCAGAAGATAAGCAGAATAATTATGCCAGCCAAAATAAAATGCACCTTTTCCTCAGTTCCAAGACTGAGCTTCAGGAGAGGGGAGGCAAAACTTACATTTATTCTGTGGAAGTTGATGCTCCAGTTGGCCCCAGCTCTTGAGGGGATGAATCTGTCACCATGCTTACTAGGAGAAGACATCGGAGAATTGGAAGGGGTCAGGGTCCTTCTCATCTCTGCTACCTGAATGAAAGAATAAAAGACACAAAACCAAGTGTTGATCACAGCAGGGGCTTGAAAAACACCAGTGAGGTCTTGTCAGAGCTGGATATGCCCCAGTAGCAGAGCCAAGCATTAGTTTATCCCCTTAACAGGCCTGGTGAGCACGTCAAAGTCCACCTGTCATAGGAGCTTCTGTCAGAAGCAGCAATTAAAGAGCCTCCTCCTCACTGCTCCTCCTCAAGCTGACATTGTCAAGGCAACTGTGTGAAAGGCTGGAGTGGCCAGACTGCTTGCAGGGCAAGCAGCAGATGCCTCAACTGCAGCCACATTCCTTTTCATAGAATAATTTGTGTCTGTAAAGGACCCCAGCTCAGAACAGGGCTAATTTCCAAGTCCCACTGAAGGTCACAACCTCACCCAGCTGAGTGTTCAGTATCTCCAGGGACACCCACCCCACCAGCTCCCTGGTGCAGTGTCTGGATAGTTTGTTGCCCTCCAACTTTTTACATTTCAGGTGTCCTGAGATTTAGTAAAACCATGTTACTGAGCTACACAAAAATATCTTAACTCCTTTTTTGCAACCTGAACTGAGTTTATAGATTCAAAAGCTTCGTTGGAGTCATTTGATTGTTCCTCTAACAGCTCAGGAGCTCACACCTGCTCAGAGCCCAACAAAGACTCAGGCTTGCTTCAGAGAGGTCCCACACCTTTCCAAAGCTCAAAGGAACACAGTGACAGGCAAGACAGACAACAGGTTAATGTTCAGAGGGAGAGCACTTGGCCACAGCCCCTCTGCACTCACACAAGGCATGGTGTTCTCATTCTGGATGTTGATCTGGCGGAGGAGACGCCGCTCGTAGTCCTGGTCCATGGTGGAGAGCAGGGGCTGGGAAGCTCAGCAGCACCAGGGACTTGTGCTCATGAAGTCAAGTCAGTAGTTAGTCTGCTCTGACAGACTGGGGAATAAAGACACCAAAATATTACACACCTTCCTGTGGCAGCAGAATCTCAGAATCTCCTAAGACTCTTCTCTAAATCTGAGATTGCTTCTCCTGCCCAGAGGACTGGTATCAGAGCTGAGGGGTGCAGCACAGGGCTGCCAAAGGCACCTTTCAGTACTACAGCCCTTGGCTGCCAGTTCTCATGAGCACTTTGTGCCTGGCAGGACCCCAGCAGGCACCCCCGTGACCCCAGCAGAGACTGGGGGGCTCAAACCAGCCTGGCCACACCAAGGGCAGCAGCACAGCTCAGGAAACCTCCAGTGCTGAGGGAGGGGAACACCAGACACCTACAGCCTGTCCCAGCACTGAGCACTGAGCAGGTCCCTGGGATGCTGTCAGGCACGTCAGGAGTGCTGCAGACCCTTAGTCCCAGGGGCAGCTATGGACTAGGTAGCCCCCCCAGGTTAACATCCAATGCCTGATGCCCAGGTTGCCCCAAATATTCCTTGTGGCCAGCAGGAAGCCAGCCCACTTAGGGCTGTATGGGCTATAAGCAAGGTTAAGCCTCTTTCAAGCATGGATTTTAGGATGGGGCTGCTCTATAGCCTGGATTGGGCTGGTTAAATTACAACATGCCTCAATAAACATAAAAAGCAGCTAAGACTGCTGCCAGGACAGGTAGTCACAGCCCTCCTCCCAGCTCTGGCAGGCACAGAGCAGCAGCAGCAGCACCCAGGCTCCAACCCACACGTGCCCTGGGCACAGCTCACACTGACACGAAGCACCAGTGCCAGGAGAGCTGTGCCAAGCTGGCCCTTCAACCCCAGATAAACCTCTCCAGAGGGAAAGGTGGAACCTCACACGAGTACCACACAGAAAATCCCCACAGTACAGAGGTGTCTGGAAGCTGGGCACACAGGGAAGGGAATTTCAGTGGCTGATACTGTACAGACACCCACAGCACCTGGCCAGAGGCCCAGCTGCACAAACAGAGCTGCCTCCAGATACAAACCCAGGGCAAAATCTGGGAGGCAGCTGCAGCCAGGCAGCTGTGCTGGGATAGGACTGCCAAAAACTGCCTTCAGCTCGCCCTGCCAGCCGTGGTGTTGTCACAGGGGTCACCCCCAAGAGCAGGAACCCTACCCAGGGCTCCCCATTAAAAACAGGGCAGTTACCCAGCTAAGATGGGCACAGCAGCACATGCTGTCACCCAGGGAGATGCCATTGGGTAGCTTGAGAGCGAGGTGAAGCACACAAACCCTGCAGCAGGGTCACCTGTCAGCCAGCAGAGCCACTTTCCTTCTGTCAGAGCCACTTAGGACTGAAACTTGGACTTGTTACAAATGCTGAGATGCTTAATGGCAAGGAAGAAAAGGCCTCTGCATGTCAACACTTCTAGAGGAGCACCCGTGGAACAGGCAGTGCCAAGTTGTTCCTGAGTACACCTGCTCACCTCTGCCACCTCCACCCCCAGGTTTTATTCTTTCTTAATTTATTAGTTTTCTCCCTTCTGTTCTTTCAGAGGCAAAGCTGGAGACAGCTACCCAATTTAACAGGAATCAGCTTCCCCCAAGTGAAGAGTCAGAGATAGCATTACTGGGAGTGCAAAGTTAGAGAAGCCTGTTAAAAAAACCCAAAACTAGTGCATGCCCTGTCAAAGAGGCCCCCTCATTTTGTAATGAACACACCACTACAGCAAGAATCTACCCCAAACCAGAGCTGCTACCTCCTCTTTGGGCTCGTATTGACTGGCACAGGTTTTGAGGTAAAAACATATCATTATTTGGGTGCTGAATACTTACAAGCTCTCAGGAAGAACCCCATCATTTACTAAGGGGAAAAGAATGGAGTAAACAAGTCCTTAGTCTTCTAAGTCACGAGCAGCAAGTTTTGAAACCAAACCCAGATGTCCTGCTTCCCCAAAACTCAAGATTTAACCTTCCAGTGACTTATCTAACACCCACGACTTGCAGACCAACAAGCTAAAGATCTGAGGCAGCCTCAGCAACGGTGGTCCCTCCATCCCTGCCCCCCTCCATGCCACCTCTGGCCCCTGCCCAACCATGCTTTGGCTCACTGAGCTGCCAAAAAACTGACCCAGCCCCGAAGGGCAGAGATTTCCTCTGCTTTAGTAAGCAGCACCTCCACCTCCAGTGTTTTAAGAGTATTTCCAGTTATGCATTCCTCTGTTTCCCAGACTTTTGAATAAGATGTAAGGAGAAAAACAAACAACCCCCAGCTAAACCACAGCATTTTTGCTCTGTCATAGCCAAGGCTGTTACACATGCACCCAGAATGCTAAAGCAGACACCAACCTGGAGCAAGATACCCTGTGCTTGGCCAAGCTCTGGAAGAACAACTCCTCATTTCACCCAGAGGAACAGAGTTCCCAAATTGTGCCAAATAACCAATCCTTTCAGGTAAGGAGCCTCCTTCCAAAACCACCAGTAGCCCAAGCTAGAGCCTTCTGTAACTTTTAACTCTATTCACATTTTGAAAGCTACAAGTGTGCAATTTTTTAGCCAGCAACTGACTGAAGTATTGGCTGAAAAGCGTTTCTAAACTTAACCCTATACAAAAGTAACCCCTAGAGGAAGGAAGCAGGGAAGCCTTAATTTCAGGACAAAATATAAACTTTGTTGCCTCGCATCTGTGAAAGGGAATTGAGAGGATTGTGCAGAGAGCACCCTGAGAGCAAAGGCAGAGGCAGCCCAGCGATATGACCACAATCTCCCCACCCTCAAGCTCTGCTCTTGGAGGCTGCAGAGATCACTGCTCCAGCAAGAAAGGAAGCTGCAGAGTCACTGCAAGCACCAGCCTACTCCAGCAGTGTGCTTCAGGGGGGAACGGGCAGGTTTTGCTCGTGATGTTTTGCTTTGCTGAAGCAAAAACCTGTTTTATTTCTGCCAACAAGCCCCCAGTGCCCAGGGAGCTCACCAACCCCTCTCCACACTCCCCACCAACAGAACACCCCCAGAACGCCCCTGTTCCCAAACTGCCCACTTTGCAGTGACCAGCAGCAAGGGCAAACTGAGCTCGAGCTGGATTTGAAGGGGTGAAGTGTCCCCAAGGCACAGCCAAGGCGTTGCTTTCACCTCCTGTCTGCACAGGACCCGGGGTGAGCTGAGGCAACAGGCACACAGCTCTGCAGCTCTGCTCCCACTCCCAGAGGGAACTTCACCCCTTCCTCACAGGCAGAGGTCAGCCTGTCAGCAACACTTGGAGCTCTCCTGCAGCTTGCTGCACCCCCTCCCCGTGACTCCCCCCAGCCCTCCCCATCCCCTGCTGAAGGTAACTCGAGGCCTCCTGTCCCCTTTCCAGAGCAAGGTGCAGTCCCAGCAGGGTGAGAGGGGACTCTGACCAGCAAGCTGCAGGGGGAGGGCACTGATTTCGGGTGCTCCAGTCACAGAGTGCTGCAGGAGGTCTCCCAGAGCCAAGGGGGAAGGGCTCCTGACACAGACCTCTGGATGTGACACAGACCTTCACACGCCCTCAGAAACCCAGGGTGGTAACACCTTCAGGAAACAGCAGGGTCTGCATCTTTGGAAGAGCTTTTACTAAAAACAACCCCATGCTCATCCTCTCAGTTCACCATTACAAGCCCAGAGGTTTTTCACTAGGATTTTCATACTCAAATTCTTAGATGCAAGCTCTCATCTGAGTAGAAGACTCCAGGAAGCCCACTGAGAACATTTCCACTGCTGCCTCCAGCGTGGATGATGCTCAGATGGGACCATCACCGTCAGCACAGATGTTTTGTCCTAAATCTCCCTTCCCTCCACCCCTGGAAGGACAGAAGGGAAGCTGACAGAGTGCTCAAAAGACAAATACTTTTTCAGCTGTCCAGCTCAAGACTCAAATCCAAGTGTGAGGCTCAGTGACAGCGACTGGAGTGGCAGAGTCAGCAGCCAGGCTCTGAGCTCAGGGCTGTCCAAGCTTCCTCCAGGCAGCTTTTTAAAGTTAGGAGAGCCACAGGTTTGCTCCTTTACCTTCCCAGATGTTTTTATTGGACACACATCACCCTGCAGTGCACAGGAGTCTGTCACAAGTGCAGAGTTTACCTAAGCAGACGTGACAATCGTGTGCTCAGCAAGGGATTCCTCAGAAAGATCAGCACCACCAGAACCCTTTTATTGCCTGCAGGAGAGGATTATTGCATCTTTCCACCGTGCTGCTGCATTAAGAAGAGGGCCACGCCTGCTGCCAGGGAATCCAGACCAAAGTACAAAGTCTCTGGTGGTGCAGGAAGCCCTGCAGGGGTCACGGCTGTGCCACCTCTTGCCTCGGGTCAAAAGGCAACCTCTGCATCTAATTAACAAAGTCTCTTAAGAGGTTCATCAGTTAGGGAAGTAAAACAAATCAGAGGCAGCAGGAACAACACTTTTAGAGATGCAGTAATTAGCAAAGGTAGGGGATGAACAGGGCTTGAACTCCTCTGCCTTTCTGGCTATTGCAAAGGCTCCATCACAGCTCTGGAGGCCAAGTTAAGGATCAGGTTCAGCTCTGGCAGAGCATGCTTCAGGAACACCCAGTGCTGAAGAGGACTGGAGCTGGGAACAATCCCCTCCTGTGGGTGCTGGGGCAGGAGCTGGGATCAATCCCCTCCTGTGGGTGCTGGGGCAGGAGCTGGGATCAATCCCCTCCAGTCACCACTTGATGCAGAAGGGACAGGCACTAACTGGGCCATGTTCTGCTTCAAGATTTCCCCTCAGCCCCTGGCAGAACCTGTGCCAAAGTGATACACACGGACGTGTCACCCTGCCCAGCTCAGGAGGCAGAGGGAGCAGTGGGAAATCCACAGGGATTCCCTCACCCTGGAGAGCTGAGCTACCAGTGCCAGCCTCGGAGGAGCTGCAGCAACACTCCCATCATCACCTCATGGCAGTTTCACCCCCTGTCCCCCTCAGTTTGGACAAGCTGCTGGACAGACAGGGAAAACAGAGGTTCTGCTTCTTGCTGCTCATCAGCATGGGGACTACCAAGAAGATATTTATACATTTATTTA